GGGGGGGGGGGGCGGGGCAGCATGCAAACGCACTCATCCGCTGCCGGAGGCGGTGTTCCTCGTCCTTTTTGGCCTTGTTGTCGGCCAGCTGCTCGGCCAGGGACTTCAGGCTACCAACTTCGGCGAACTCGCCTGCCATGGCGCCGACGACGGGGAGGGCAGCAGCCCAGTGCCAGGAGGTCAGCGGTCAGAGCCATCGCGGTTGTGGCGCACCCACGCCCGGCTTGCAGAAACACCTTGCAGATCTTGGTCTTGCAGCCAGGGGGGCGGGGCGGGGCGGGGCGGGGCGCCGGCCGGCAGGCAGAGAGAGGCAATCGCCACGCACCGATGTCGGGGTTGGCTTCGCGCCGGCGTTCCCATTCCTGGCGGGCCAGCTCGCGAGATCGCTCGACCTCGGTCTCGGTGACGAAGAGATCTTTTGTGTCGGCCAAGAGCTCCTCAAGCGGGATGTTGCTGTCCATGGTCGTGGCGGAGGGGGCGTGTCTGTGTGTCGGAGGGGGGGGGGCAGCCGGCAGAGTCCGACTCAAGAGGAAAAGGTGTACGTGACACAGAGAGAGGGAGAGAGAGAGAGAGAGAGAGAGAGAGAGAGAGAGAGAGAGAGAGAGCAGGGGGGAGAAAGAGACAAGGCGCCAAAGTGTGGGGGGAGGGCACATGCGAGCGTGTGCACCTGGCGACGAAGCGCGCCTCAAAAAGCCCGCCCCGGGTCATGTGCATGGATCACACCCGCAGGGGCCTGAGTTCCGGACGGCTCGCGCCAACAATCGTGTGACCGCCGTCTGCCGTGGGCCCCCCGCCCGGGCTCCGGGCCGCCCCGCGGATGCCGGGGCCGAGGCGGGACACCGGGGGAGACGCCTGCTGCTCCGACAAGCAGCAGCAGCAACCGGCCGGGGGAACGGCGTCGGCCGGGCGTGGAGCCCTGCTCGGCAACCACCGAGGGGGGGGCCCCGGGCGCGACGAAGGCCCTCGGGACGCCAGGCGCCGCAGCGCATCCGCCTGGGGCGGGAGAAATAACACGCCCCGGAGGCGTGGGACATGGCCGGAAGGTCAACTCGGCCAAGCGGCAGGGCCGCGCCCACCCACGAAGGCGCGCATGCGGAAACGGGCCCCGTCGCCCGGCGGCCCCGCCGAAGGGTGTTCTGGTGGCACCCGGTGGTCCAGATCCCGGCGCCGAGCCCCCGCCGTCACATGCGCCCCGATCACCTGCCCCGGTAGGGTTCTGGTGCCGGCGGCCCTGCCGCCCGGTCTTTTTGGTAAGCCGCTCCCCCCCCCCCAGAGCAGCCGGGCGGGGGAGGAAGGAGGGTAATCAGTGTGCGAGCGCCGGCCGCAAGCGTTACGCATATCCCATGGGCAGTAACGCGCGGCCGTTGGGCGAGACCCGCAGCCACCAGGTCCACGAGCCCGGTTAGCCCGGCCGCCAGGAAGCCCCACGGCCAGTTAGCCGCCGTGTGAAAACGGAGGACCGCAGCGGCTGTTATTTTTTCGGCGGCCCGGGGGGGGGGGGGGGGAACATGCTCGTGGACTGGGCGTCTAAATTTGCACACACACATACACACACACGCGCGCGCGCGCGCGCATGCCCACCGACGCCCTCGCCGGTGTTGACCGGGCCTCGGACGATCGGCCTCCTCTCGGGGCAGCTGAAATGCCTCGAAGGGGTTCCCCCTCCCTCCGGATGGCTCGCAGGAGGCACGTAGACAACGCGCGTCCCGGGGGGAACGGGGCCTGTCCCTCGCCCCCCCCCCCCCCCCTTGCCAGGCACCCGCCCCTCCGGGCATATGGTGGTGTGCCAACTCCACCGCCTCCGCCCCCCGCCCGCCCGAGTGAGACGCAGACTCTCCTCGGGTCCCGGCTGCTGCTACCTCCACCGCTTTGCCCGGAGGCCGGGGGAGGGGGGGGGGGGGGGCTCCCGACATCTGGCGCGCCCGCGCGGCCTGCTGGGGATGCTCGGGCGTCGACGAGCCGTCCACCAGCAACCCCCCCCCCTCGCCATCCCGGACACCTGCCCCGACGCGCACCAGAGGCCAGTCGACCCGGCCCCCTGCCCCGCCACGCCCCCCAGCGGATCGGCCGTGCTGTGCGGTTCGCACACCGGCGCTCGGTGCGCGGCAATGCCTTTTCGCATTCATGTTCCCGCGCGCGCATGTGTACGGCCCCCCCGCGCGAAAACAGACACATCAACCACCACCCCGGCGGGCATGTGCCACACACACGCCCAAGCATACACCCCCCCCCCTTTCTCCCTTCCCTCCCCGCCCCGTCGCCGCCC